CTCCCCCTCCTCCCCCATCGCTTCACCTGCAGGAAGCGACAAGATGGACACGGCAAATCTCCGTTAACGAGTTACTGCGCATCGCCCCGTGCGTGGGGCTGGACGGCGTCAACGTGTTAGCTAGCTAACCACGCTAACGAGCTAACCACGCTAACGCCATGCAGCCCAGAGGTGCTGCACGGACTAAAATCCTTTCATTTTCTCAAAAGTTGACAGCGCGCCTTATGTATGAATTCTGGTTGTGCTTGATGGCCGCGAACCGATTTTATGTGGAACACGGCGCTCAGCAATCTGTCAAAAAATGTTTTAGTACGACTTTGGTAAGCTACGGAGCTGCACCGCTTGATGGATTGTCGGAGCATTACGGCTGAGCCTCGCGGAGTGATACGTACTGTGCTTCAACGTAATATTACCCTACTGTGTATAAGGACCATAAATGGCACCTGTTAAGAGACGTGGTTGCGAAGCGGATTTCAAACTCCAGGCTGTCAGTCACGCAGTACAAGTTGGGAACAGAGCAGCTGTGAAATCTGTCTTTGTTATTGTGCTCAGCGTCTTTTAGTTTACATTTTGACTGCACAATTGTGAGCTTTTTGTTATGCACAAAAACAACATTGTTTTCTTTTATTTATGGAGCATTATTATTTAATAAATGCTCATAATTTATTTTTGAGTAAATTTTATGTACATCTGCTCTATGTTAATAAAAGTGCCTGTGTGACATCTGGGACACAGCTTTGACTAAGAACTCTCTTTTTGTTCTTACTTTATGGCTTTAAAAAAAAAATATCGAGATATATATCTTATATCGCCATCCAGCTAAAAAATATCGAGATATGAATTTTGGGTCATATCGCCCAGCCCTACTCTGATATTCCAACTAATGAATCTAAGAGGCATACCTGACCCAGCAATGCTGGGGTCTATATTGCCATTAACCATTTATAAAAAGGAAGAGGAAAAAGACCAAACCAAAATGCCAGTGGCCATGAAGAGCCGAAATGGGACAGCCCCCCCCCAACCCTGAACACAAATACACCCCAAGTCTCCACAGAACAGAACAAAGGAGACAGCAGTGTACCCCCAAAGTAGCAAAAATGATTCACCGAAGTGACTGGACTAACTGGAGTCTAAATAAAAATAAAAGCGAGAGAGGGAAAAATAACCTCTCGCCAACTTCTCTACAGTATAACAGTGTGCGCGTAACAGTAAACATGTTTTTTTTTTATTTAAAAAAAGAAAAAGAAAAAACCAAACAACAAAAAGATCTCACAGTACAAAATATGACTTCCTCAGAAGGAGACTTTACCAACAAAACACCAAAGTGCATAAAATTAAAAAAAACATAAAATAAATTAAAAAAAAAAAAACAAAAAAAAAAGATAACAGAAACAAAAAACAACTCAGTCCTATGCAAATCAATGCAGCAAGCTTGGAGAAGATTGTGCCGGACTGGTCCGAAGTTCAAGAGTATATTATATGATTCAGTTTCAATAAATAACAATGAAAATAAAAGGAACCAGCACACCAACAGTACAATAACCAGCACAATGGCCTAAGAAAACAATGCACAGATGGCGTTAAACCTAACGAGAGCGTGAACCCTTATTAGCATTACAGCATCAAACTGAGGGGCTATCGAGGCTCACCCAGAGATCAAAGTTTTGACATAATCACTGGCCTCCTCTGCTGAAACAAAGTCCTTCTCGACACCCTTATATGTGATGCGGAGTCGCGCTGGATGAAGCAGGCCATACCGAACACCTTCAATGCCACGGAGTTGCTGCCTGACCGTGTTGAATGCAGCACGAGCCCGTGCCACCCTGGCAGTGATAGTCGGGGAAGACTGAGATGGTCCGGTCTCTAAGTTTAATCTGTAAAATGTCAACACAGTCAGTGTGGTAATGAAACCTGCATACAATGGCTCGTGGACGGTCGCCGGCTTCGGTGCGGGTTGGAGGGTCCTGTGCGAACGATCCAAAAGCGGCTCCTTCCCCAGATCAAATGCTTCTTTTAGCAAGGAAGCTACGGCAGCAGTGGTGCACGTGTCAGGGCCCTCCGGTACTCCCACTATCCTAACATTGTTGCGCCGCGACCTGGACTCCAAATCTTCACACTTACTTTCCAGCTTGGCTACATGAGCTGTGAGGCCCTTGATAGTGTTTTTCATCTCAGCTATATCATCAGAGCAGACAGTAAGTGCGTGCTCCATCTCCTTCACCGTACCTTTTAGCTCAGACATGGTAGCGTCATTGGCAGCTTTATCGATCGCCAGCTGCGTCTTCACCGCCTGCAGGTCGAACTTAATGGTAGACAAAGCATCACCCAGAGTGTCCTGAAGTTCCTTTTTAAAGATGTCGGCGATATCTTTCCTCAGCGAAGCCAGCAACTCGACCTTGAGAGCCTCAATATCAGGATTAGCTTGACATGTGGGGGGCTTTGCAGGAGACGACGGCTCACTCGAGGGTGTGGTCGCGGTTTGCAAACTAGGCCTCAGTTGTGTTTGAATAGTACTGCGGGTTTTAACATTTTTTGCTGCCATTTTACGCAGGCCCGAGTAAAACTTCTCAACAAAACAATCAACAAACCAAAACAGGACTGGAAATATAGCCGAAAAGCGCGAATGAATAACAATTTAATCGAAATCGGCGGCAGCTCCCAGACTCGCGTCCTACTCCATCAAAGCTCTTCCGGAAGTCCACGGTAATATTATGTTGAAGCACAGTACATATTACTGCTCGAGGCTCTTGACTACGGTAGCCGTAATGCTCCGACAATCGTGGCTATCTGACGGACAAAAACCATACAAGTTCCACATCACTGAAGTTGCACCATTTTTACAAACCAATTCTGATTCATCTGTTTCATTCGACGATCCGCTTTTGTCCTTCTCATTCTCTGCTGCCATGCTTTTTCCGCCATGTGCTATGAAAACAAAGGCACTGCGCATGAGCGTTTTACCCATATTCTATCACGATGTTTCATTGCCTAACACTGTATACTGTGAACGGTATAATATGGCCCAGCCCTAGACGTATATTTTAGAAATAGCTGTAATCTTAACTGCAACGATAGTCCTCCACTCTCCTGGGTTCAGCCATGTCTCGGTGAAGCAGAGGAGATTGCAGTCCCGAATGTCTCTCTGGAACTTTATCCTGGCCCTGAGGTCGTCAAGGTCGTCAAGCTTGTTCTCCAGTGACTGGACGTTGGCGAGCAGGATGCTAGGCAGAGGTGTGCGGTGTGCACGAGCTCTCAGCCTGTTCCTGACGCCGGCTCGCTTCCCTTTGTTCTCCCTCGAGATCTCACTCGGCCAGCTCGGATCCGGAGTTAAAAACTTCGAATTGTGAGTACATTGTATACCAATAGAAACAAGAGTGTCACTGTCATACCTAATGTACCCAATGGTGATGATTTTGCCGATTTAGAAACGCTGAAAACTAACTTAAAAAACAAAGACAAAGAAAAAGTGGTCGGAGCAGTCGTGACGGCAGCCGACCTCACCGGCGCCATCTTATTTCAATTTAGATTACGTTTCAGTTCCCCTTATGTTGTGTGAAACTGACACACTGTTTTTTGTTTGTTTTTTTTCTTCTTTTATTTCCACCTAATGGAACCTAATGTCTTATTGTCCCTTTCGGTGACACTGGAACTGTCTCAGCCACTTTCATCCTGCGTGGCTCACATCCATGGGTTCTGTATGTTGAGAGTTTTTCAGAACACATTCAGAAGCTGTTTAAATGGCCAAACTGTGATTTTTTTTTTTTTTTTTTTTTTTGCTGCAGTAAGAAGGAGAAGAAAAGAAATTAAGAGAATTCCATTGAGTTCAGATTTTAAACTTCTATTTTAGTAAATAAAATCTTGGCCATGAGTACATTTCCATTTGATTCTCTCTCTCTCTCTCTCTCTCAAAATCGTTTGAAGCTTTGTAAAATCACATAAGATAAGATGCAGGAATAAGTAGTAGGATTTAAGAGTGTAATAATGGACTGAAACAGAAGATGGCAGCATATATTACTGCATAATATTTATGCATACAAATAACCAAACATCAAGGCAAGCTGTGTAGCCACACAATGCACAATTGCATCAAACTGACATTGAGGTATGTCAATTTGTAGTGTTGCTCCATGGTGCAGCCATGACACCGTAGCAAAGTTTACACACTATGTCTACTTAATCCACGTCTGACTCTGCAAACCCATAATGTTTCCACACCACTGAAGTCGTTTTATCTCTCTTTTCAACCAACGGCATTCTTTCTTTAGCAGCCATTATCCTGTTCTCTCTAAATAACTTCTACTTAGCTTTCCGAGCTTCCCTCGAGTCCTCTTTATTGTTGTGATGTGTGTTCGAAACGCAGAGAGGCGCGCTCGATTTGCCACACGGAGCAGCGCGAGAGTAAAGCACGAGGGAGGTGCTAATAATCTGCTCAGTCATTTTTAATGATCGTTGAAAGCCGAGATCGTAATTTAGATTAAAATTTGATTAATTGAGCAGCCCTACTTCCTTCATATTTTTTTTTTCCTGATGGCTGCTCCTTGTAAAGTTGTAAACTGATTTGAATAGAACATGGGTGGCACATCTGTGAGGAGATCATATTAGCAATGCCTGCTTCCAATAGCAGGAAAAAAAAACTGTGTGAAACTATGTGTTTGGCCTGAGGTCTTGTCTCACAGGATTTACTTGTTCATATGCGGACCTCATTATTTGAAACTTTGGCCATCTACAACAACAATGTCTACCAACGTAACAACATTTATGTAACAGGAAATGAAGAAAAGCTCAAGAAGTTCCGTTTAATAAACAGTGGATTGTTGTAAAATTCATAAGCAGACACCTACAAAATGGCTTCAGTTTGTTGATCTCTAAGTAGTGAAGTACTAGATTATTGCTTAAACTTGGTGTGAAGAAATGCTTCCCACTTACTACCAGCTGCCTGGTGTGTGATTGTTACTCATTTATGTATATATGTATGTATGTGTTTGTATATGTATTCATAGGAACTGAAAAAGGACCCTAAAGAGGGCAGTCAAACAGCAGATGAGCCAAAGGAAGAGCAGCTTCAGAAGAGAGAGAAGGTGGGGAACGTGGCCGGCCTGGTCCAGAGAATAAGCACTCTTGGCATCCCGGCCGGTGCCTTCCAGCCACCAGTGCCCGCAGCTTCAAAGAGTAAGGAGCCCGAGTTTGGTGTTTGAATGTTTGGAGGGAATGAGACTTTAAAGTGCTTGGTGTCCAGGACGTGGACCTCTGGTAAAACTTGTTCATGTAGCATCTGGCAGGTTAAGAGAAGTTGATGCTTTCTTTTATTATTTCAGCTGTACGTTCCACATCTTCACTGTGTCTCGTTTCGCTCAGAGGTCTTTAACTGAATACAGATCTTTGTCTTCTGCATGTATCTATCTATTCTTCTGAGTGGAGAGCTCAAAGTGTCCATGTTACAGGCAGGTAAAGGCAGCTTCAGAGCATTAAGAAGAGACTGCGTCGATGCATCCACCTGTTTAGGTCATTCTTTCAAAAAGGCCCTGAGACACTGATATTGAAAACCTTGAAGTAGTTTAAGTAAAGCTGAAAGGCTTGTGCCAGCTGACCCATCAAGGTTTCATTTACTGAGTGGTGAATTAAAATGAATTAGAAACAAGCATAGAGCTCAATCTATTTCCACTTTTTTGTTCTTATTACGATTTTGATTTATTATAAATTGAAAAACTGTAATAGAAAATAAATCTGTATTCTTTGGATTCTTTTTGTGACAGAGGGTTGTTTATGTTGTTGGAGTTTATATTGTGCTGCTTGTAGTCCTTGTCCTGCTCTGCAACCACAGTGAACTCAGTGTAACGACATATGAGCCAGAGGGAGATGCCATGCATGGCCTAACTGAATTCATGATATTATTCAGTGTCCAACCACATCAAGCTGCACAGAGCAGGCAGGGAGAGCACGAGGTCAGAAAGTAATGTGGTAGAGAATAGGATAGACCCACCTTCTGATTGAGTTGACTAGCTGAGTGTGCCATATCCTTTGGGTTCTCAGTTCTCAGTATGATCCTCCCCTTGTCACGCCTGGAGAAGATGGAGAAGGCTCCAGCTTTAAAAAATAAAACCCAGTGTGTGAGGTCACAGTTGCTACATTGTCTTTGATATACAGTCTTTGGGCTTTATAGTTTTGATACTTTTTATGATGCCAAGAACACAAATTCATATGAGCTTGACTGATTTCTTTATCCATGGTTGGTTGTTATTAGCCAATATTGGCTGTTTGCTGAGCTGCATTTATAACATATAAATGATGTCACAAACACAGAAGACAGTTGGGCAAGAGTGTAAACAAGTAAATAAAAGCAGAACAAACAAATACAACCGTTATGAGCAAAGTCTCATATAAAATATTGGCCAATGTATTGGACTATTTGAATCAATGATTACTTGGTATCTTAAAAGACAGTTAAATGTGTAATCATAAACGGTAATTTAAACTCTAAAATGTTGCATACTGTCAGTAAGTTGGTTAAACCATTCGTTTATTAAATAAAGGCTAATGCTACTAGCAGCACCTTTCTATTAGAAGTGATATTTTCTAGGAAAAAAATAAGAATTCTAAGGTTGATTAAAAACATTTCACTAAATGACCTATGTGAATATCCATATTCTTTGAATATTCTGCACAGCTCTGCTTGATCAATAGGGCGGGGCTACTTCATGCTGTATGATCACCTTGTAGAAGAGTTCCTTATGAGCGAACTTTTCATTAAAGGCCATCCCACTGGCTGGATCCATGCCTTTGTTGCTTTCCTGCATCGCTTACTTTTATGTTGCAGACATGCAGGTTTACAAACAGCAAACGCAGGTCTGCTTTTTCTCTTCTTCTTCTCAGAGCCTAAGAAGAGACAGTGCAAGGTGCTATTTGAGTATCAACCGCAGAACGAAGACGAGCTGGAGCTGAAAGTTGGAAACATCGTAGAGATCACTGAAGAGGTACTGTGAAAAACCAGGCCCCATTGTCAAAGGAGCTTGCAAAGAAAAGCGTCTGGACTTCTTTAAGTTACTTGAAGACGTTTCACCTCTCATCCGAGAAGCTTCTTCAGTTCTAAGGTCAAATGGTGGAGAGTCCCAGATATATACCTAGTGGGAGTATCCCCCCACAGAGGGACAAAAGGACCCCCTGATGATCCTCTAATCGCCTGAGCCAAGGTGTGAAACTGGGTGTGGGTCCCAATCAGCCAGAGTTTCGGGTGAGTTCATTGTGAAACCTGGCCCCACCTTATCATGCGAATTCCTGAGTCAGATGGCCCAGGATGTGAGTGGGCGTTAAGGCGTCTGGGAAGGTCAAAACTGGATTATAGATGGCAGAGAGTTGGTGTCGTAACACCAACTCTCTGCCATCTATAATCCAGTTTTGAGATCCCTTCCCAGACGCCTTAACGCCCACTCACATCCTGGGCCATCTGACCTCAGGAATTCGCATGACAAGGTGGGGCCAGGTTTCACAATGAACTCACCCGAAACTCTGGCTGATTGGGACCCACACCCAAGTTTGCCAACACCTTGCTCCAGTCGAGGCGTAAATATCCAGGCATCCGTATCTAGGGTGCGGTCCCTTAATGTACCCTTCATCTGTGTGGTTTGATCACCATCCCCGTACTAGGTTTATATCTGGACTCCGCTCCACCATTGACCTTAGAACTCTGCAAGAAGCTTCTCCGGATGAGAGGTGAAACACTACTTCAAGGTAACTTAGGAAGCAAGTGCCAGACGCTTTCGTTGCAAGCTCCGGTGACTACGGATAGACGGCCCTGAGGTGAAAATTGACTCTTCGAGGAGAACCCTTCACTCATGACACCTCCCAGCGCCACACCACTTGAACCACGATACACTTTTTAGTCCTTACTGCGGGTATATACGGATGTAGTAGTTACACATGAAAAATGTCCCTTACTGCTATAGGTGTAGTGTTACATGAATGTTATGGTTTTGCAGTGCAGACACGTTTTGGCAAGTGAGAGATGTCAGTGGTTGTGCTGTGGGAAAAGTTTTTCACTTTTCCTTTGGACCTTTCTTGTTGCCCTCATGGCATCAGAATGTTCTGACTGAACCTCTCAATCTCTCTACACAATCAGGACTGATTGCTTTATTTGACATGTGCACAGGTAGAAGAGGGCTGGTGGAGCGGCACCTTGAGGCCCACTAGGGACCACCCTTGCACATCGGTAGTAGAATCAACCGTGCCATTGTCTTCCCCCTAACCAAACTTTGTTCAAAGCGCCTGCAGCAGCCTCTTATGGTGCGCGGAGGGAACAATCGGGCAGAGAAAAAGATCCAAAATTGACACCAAGCCCAGGCAAGGCAGATGACAATGCTGGTAAAACAAGTTTAAAAAAAGGGTGCCCAGCCTGAATGTACAAAACAACTTTGGATACTGAATTTTACGCTAACTTTGGCTGGTTAAAACGTTGTTCATTTAGTCGGAGTGGTGGGGGCCTAAAATCATTTAGGATAAAACGCGATAGCCCGAATACCACTCTGAATACAGATGAGTGTTGCTGATGGGTGACACAATACCTCAGAGGCGGTGCGGATTAAACAGGAGCACGAAACCATGGCGTCTGCTCTCACCAGTATGAAAACGAGGCTTGCTCTTAAGGGTCATGCCTACCCCATGCAGTGTCGCCGTTTCTTTAAAAACTGTGATATTGATTTTAACCAACCAATAAAGATTATCAGAGAAAGTTCGGACAGCCAAGCCAACAGGCAGACTCACAGCAGCGGTTCTCGCCGTTATCCTACTGTTATTGCTCACAACCTTGCTTCCACAGCCCAAACAAACACGAAGCCCGAAGTGTAATATTAACCGAAAATCACCAGCGAAGAGTAGAACTGCAAAGCGAAGGCCATATACAAGTCAAAGCGCACGCAAACGAGCGCCCCGATCAGCAAATCTACTCATCGAACCGACACACCCGGTCGAACAAAACTGGCCGCCTGTGGGTTATTTTCTTAAACTAGAGCTTGCTAGCTTAGACCCTGATGCGTCTTGTGTTTCATAGCATTTATAACACCTATTATAGCAGCCAGTTCATCTGGCCGAAATACAAAGGACTCAGGGCGGCGATTGACCTTATGCCGTATTACTATCTTTTAAACTATACCCCTGATTCCCGAGACGTAGCCCCACTGCACACCTACGCTGAGAGCGTAGCCGCACAAAGGAGGGTTATTTTTGGTGCGATATGAAAGGCCGGCACTTAGGAGGCGAATGCGTAGACTACGTGATACATATTGTGCCAAATTCAGCCCTTTGCACATACCGACAGGGTCGGGCACCGGGCTTTTCCGTTCCGCTAAAGGAGGTTTGGCCAAAAACTGCATAAAAGAGCGGCCTCTGCGACGCCTTGCAGAGAACGAAATATCGATTAGATTAAATCTCCGAAGAAACGACTGAACAGAACGCCTTTGCACGGTCCGATCAGCCTTGTTTAAAAACAGACGTTCCTAAACGTCATGGGAAAGCAATAGACCAGTGGCAGCGGCAGCCATTAACTTTTCGATCATTTCGCCTTTGCATTACACAACTGAGGACCGAAACCGAAGAGGCCATGACCGCTCATTTATCGCGGAAATGTTAGAAATGTGAGTCTTGTAGATTGCATCAGGCGCCGTCAGGCCAACTGGGATAATACTGCTCTTTTAAAAGTATATCTTGACTTTATGACTTCTGGTGTCCGTATTCTGGGGGTATTGCTTTAGCGACTTTAGAGCTCATCTAGCACTGCTGGAAATACGTCCATATGATAGGCATATTGCTGCCCCTGTTGCAAAAATTGGCACGTTTCCCCCAAGAGCCAATTTCATCACAGTCGGCTTGTCTGTTCCGCAGCCTTATTATAGCCAGCATCTGACGATGCTATAAATCCTATTTACTTCGTTTTCTCCTGCAGTGCATAAAAATCCCGGTGGGCCTATTTTCACAAACATCAAAAACTTATCGAAGACACTACAAAATTAAAATTCCCCTGAGCACCGCTTGAAACATATTTTTGTGCCAACTTTATTTGCCAATTTCACAAAGTCTTTAGGGAATAAGCCATCTTAAATTTCCTCTAACTAGAAACTATATGGTTAAAAAATCAAAAACGCGATACAAATTTTTTTTAGTTATTGCAAACTTGTTTTGCACCCAAAATTTATTACCAATACCTATGCGAACTTAAAGTGAAAGATACTTTTTTCATTCTTTATTATTAGAAAATCCATGCGGTCCCACATAAATGTACAACTTAGAGGCGGTGGAATTGATGACCCCACTATAGCCAAACATTCCGAACCTAGATGGCTCCACACAAAATCGGAACGACTCCACCAGACAGCATGGGTGTAAGACGAGAGAGTATAATTAAGCTCTTTGGCGCTGGCTGACTTGGCGCCGGTTCCGTATGGATGAGGGTGGTGCTTAGACAGGGGGTTACAAAAGGTCCATTCACCCCCTATGAATGTTAGTTAGAATTATAGTTGTACCCCCAGTTAATGAAGGCCGAATTTTTGTCCCCCTCTCAGCCTTCTAGACACCGAGCCGTCTTGAACATAGCTTGCAGGGCCAGCGGGGGCTGCAACCTAAGCCCGCGCAAGTAGCCGCCTAAGCCTGTTTAGTCTACAGCGTGCATGAGTTTTTAAGCCTTCTGCCTGGTTCTTCTATGAACTTGAAGCATACAGAAGATCTCTTTACAAAAAACAGTTCTAATTTTAGAGAAATCCACAGATTGTCGATCGGGCCTAATAATTTGAGTCTAGTGTTAGTTAGTAGAGAGCAAAGGTGGCTTTACCCTCATATAGACGAGCGCGTTAATTGGAGAAGAGCTGTCGTTTATCAGTCTGTGTGTGTGTTGTGTGTGCCCGTGCTAGTGTTGTTCGCTCGGTGTGTGTGTTACTGTAGGCACTAATGAGACCCCGCCTTTAGGACCCAGTCTAACACGTTTTTGTTCCTTTTTTTATTGTAACACCGTAATAGAGACAGATGCATATAGTGGCAGGCGATGTAGTAGTCTCTAAGCTGGCTGGGGTGGAACTGATTCAAAACCACAGCCAATCTCTCCCCACGGCTGAGGGGTAGAATCTCCTCTCTCTCTCT